GACTGACCTTGAGAGTGTCCAATTAAATTCACAGATACTCATAGTTATATAATATACCCTTGTGGGCCAAGGTAATTTCACATTGGTTTTCAGGAGAACCAGACACCATTCATACTTCCACGTGACAACCAAAACAGTACAGCTCAACCCCATTTTATAAGAGAGACAGACACTGTACAGGCTTTAACGCTACAATCTGAATAGTACAGTTCAATCCTGTGACACAACCACACAGGTACCAAGCACCCTAGTGGACCATTCGCACGATTCATATACACATTCGCACCACATGTGTAGTTATTCCGATCAATGATCGCGCGAATCAATTATGCACAGCATGAACGGGCCAAAGTTGACCTATTCCGCTTACACGACAGTCAAACTAATTAATGTTAGTAATAGCGACCTGCCTTACAATGTCCCAATGACAATGGTCCTCAAGAACACTGAAAAGCAGCCATCAGTATGAATGGAATCAGTCCACTTAAATATCCAGGATCAAATGAGAGTTATAAACCAGTGTGTGAGAAATTATAATTATGATATACATTTGATCGTTAGGGTTAAGAATTGTATTTAGAGTTATCATCACTAACTGACATCAGCTTAAATACTAAAACGCTATTTAGCCAAATGGATGAATGAATTTCGCTCCAAATCCCGAGACATGTTAACCCAAACCTGATTGGTACATTCATAAATTATTATCTAGTTCACAATTGAACTGTTCTAATAAGAACAGTTCAATAGTTCCTTAATTCTCGGAAAACCTGATTAAATTATTCGTTTTACCATGATTTAATTCCTTTGATTTCTTAATTGTTAGTGAGAAGAGGATTGAACTAAAGAACTGCTAAAGTATCAAATATTTTAAATTATTACACTTAGTTGAGGAATCATTTAATCAACTTCATATGTGGCATAATCTATTTTTAGTATTAAAATAACGATCAGAGAATTTCATTGAAAAACAAAATCTTCAATACTGACTTGATAGATCCTCTATATTTTAATGGTTGACATCATGAGTCAATTGAAGTGAGACCACCATAGAATACCTGGAAGCACTGGACAACCATTTCGTCCTATTGTGGGACTCCTCAGAAGTGCTTCAGAATTGGGTTGCATCAACATCCGAACTAATGATAGGGAGTGGAGTAGTTAAGCGTGTCGGCCGCTTCACTTATCTTGGCAGTTTCATCAACCCTTGTGGTCTGGTGAGTAATGAAATCTCAGCACAAACACAGAAGGCTCGAATAGCTTTTGCCAACCTGTGTCATTTATGGTGTAGGTGATATATCCGTCTACCAATCAAAGGACAGGTTTACAACGTAGCAGTTCGTTCCGTCCAACTGTACGGCAGGGAAACATGGCAGGTAAGCGTCGAGGATATTAGTAGGTTACCAGTATTCGATAAAAGGTGTCTTCGAAGCATTGCTCGTATATCCTGGGACGGTCGAATAAGTAACTCAGTTGTTAGGAAACAGGTACTAGGTAAGGATGTCAAACCAATTGATGAAGTAGTGAAACTTAATCAGTTGAGATGGCTGGGACACGTGTTACATATACCCAACCACCGACTGCCCCGATGTGCCATGTTTTATGGTGTAGGAGTAGGTTGGAAGAAAGTTAGGGGTGGCCAGATCAAAACATGACACAGATCCATGAAGTCACTGACAAGTGCACTGAACGATGTTGGTAGGTGTAGACTACCTGGTTGTGATCCGATTGTTAGAGACCTTGAGTGATATGGCTGAAAATCATTTGCAGAGGCGCAGGTTTATTCACTCTTTGTGTTCTCCCTAAATCTAATCTTCTGAATTATTCATGTCCTTTTATTTTTTTCTCTTTCCAAATTTATTTCACTGGATTATATTCCTTGAATAACATCTTCAAACTCTAATATTTCCGATTACTGCTCATACTTTTACTACCTCTACCACTATGAGATTTGAATGGACAATTGTATCTCTGTGTTAACGTGGTATAGCAACTTGAACTGATGTATGTACGTACGAAGTTCTACATTGTTGTTAACTGACTGACAATAGTTTGTAAGAGAATGCTACAATCAAGATGATCTACTCTGGAATGGTCAAATTTCTGTCTCAAATATAAAAACAAACAAGATAACTTAAAGCCTTCTGAATGAAGATATTAAAAGTGAAATGGAGTGTTTGGTTGTTTTTTTTCAGAAGGGGTTTTTGTAGATATTATAGTAATTTGAATAATTAAGATCATGAGTCAGTTGACGCTAAACCATCATGAATAACATGGAAGCATTGAACTTCCATTTCATTCTATTATGGAACTCCTCAATACTGCTCATCTACAATCCTACCTCGTAAGATTCAAACCTAAAACCTCACTACTGACTAATTTCAAGATGTATTTCCTGAAGTTGTAATTAGCAATAGTAATGACTAGTTGAAATTCCTTTTTCATTTTTTTTTTTATTAGTGTCAAACTCTTCAATATAATTTATGGCATATGTACACCCTAATCTCCTATTGATTATATTTAGTTATTAAAATCAAATCTATACATGGGATACTGTTCCCGTTTTTTGTGTTGTTGTTTCTTTTCTTGTTTAAAAAAATGACATTGATTTTATTCTAATGTTTGTTATAAAATATTACCCTTATTTTGATAATAAATTATCCTTAATCTTGTCTGTAATAACTTGTAAAGTAATTAATTTCATTTATGACATAATATTAGTAATAGTAATAGTAATAATAATAGTAGTAGTAATAATAGTAACAATATAGTGTTAATAATAATAATAGTAATAATATAATGGTAATAATAGTAATAGTAATAATAGTAATGATAGTAATAGTAATAACAGTAATATTAGTAATGGTAATAATAGTAATAATAATAATAGTAATAGTAATAATGGTAGTAATAAACGTAATCAACGTATCCCTTACATCAAAAAAAAAAATATATATATATATATATATATTTATTTATTTATGATCACATTAACTGTAAATTTGATTACTGTAATGTTTTAAACATACTGCCATTTAACCATTTGTTCAATGTACAATAGATCACTTCAATAAAAAAAATAAGACAAATGGGTAATAAAGTGTGTGTGTGTGTGTGCGTGTACGTATTATAAACAAATAATAAATAAAATAAAATGTTGTTTATGTCATTAGCTGAGGTGAAGAAGACGGATAAGAAACAAGCTGCTGCTACTACTACTGCTGCTGCTGATGATGATGATGATGATGATGATGTGTTCAACAAGACAAAAAAAAGAGAGAGAGAGAAGGATATGACTGATTTCTAATTAATTTCATAAGTGATAAAATTATAATAAAAATAATAATAATTTTATTGCTTTTTTTTCTATATGTTTCCAATGTTGACAATTAGAAGAGATGATTAATTTGGTGGTGGTGGTGGTGGTGGGGTTGTTGCCAATCTGCTTGTGTGTGTGTATGTGTGTATAAGTGTGTCCATGCCGGTAACAACGTGAAAAATATAGATGTGGGACAATAATTTTTGAGGTCAAAATAGTCATTAAAAATGAATAAATTATAATTTTAAAGGTAACTAATAGAATATAAGTTTTGTTCAATTTGACATTTGTTAACAAAGGAAATCTAGACGATTTGAAGAAATTAATGTTTCTATTAAGATTTAAACAAGTATCACCTAATGTCAGTTAGAAATGTTCCGTCTGTTATAATTTACGGGTTGGTATGCCCTGTTAATGTATAAGGTAATAATACCGCCAGTCAGAGAGCAGTGAATTATCGATCGGATCAATGACGCATAAAACAACTACGAGTAGTCTATAGTCTTTATCGGTACTACTTCCTACCTAGCCCAACCAGTTAAGTCCAGAACATCAATCTCGATCTCTGCGATTTGAATCATTTATTTCAAACATACGAGGTTTATATACAAACCAAAGAGACCACACCACACCATAAAACAGAAAATAACATTTGTACAAGAATTAGCCAAATGTGGCTGTGAATATGAGAGGGAGTGACTAATAGACAGGGAATAATTCAACAATGGTAAATCGTATAATAATAGTTCATAGGTCAAAATAAAGCTTATAATAAGAGGAACATGAATATGAATAGTTTATTTACAGTTATATAATAAAAATATACGTATAGTTTTGTTCTATAAATGGATCCCAAAGTTTATCATTCATTATTCTTATCGGGACATAACAGGTTTTCTCATCTTTCGAAGATTCTCCATCAATTGTGATTGGATTGTTGCATACTGTGTTGTATCGGACAATCTTGCTTTTCTCTTTGTGTATATTGAGACTTACTGCTGTTGAGGCTGCTGCTACACTGGTCGTCTTCTCCTGCATTTGTTGTTGGGTGTGTGATAGAAGAGCCAGATGACCTGCGAAGTCTAGATCATCCAATTGCATCCTAGCTATCCACTGTATCCCGTGCTTCCCTTCAGATGTTGATGTCTTCATGATCCAGTCGATCACCAGGAGAAAGAGAAAGGGTGAGAGTAAGCAACCTTGCTTGACACCGGTCTTTACTTCGAACGACTTTGTCAACTGTCCTCCATGCACGATTTTGCAGTTTAATCCATCATAGGAATTCTGTATGATATTGACTATCTTCTGAGGCACGCCGTAGTGTCGAAGAAGCTTCCATAGGGTTGTTCTGTCCACGCTATCAAATGCTTTTTCGTAGTCAATGAAGTTGATATAGAGTGATGAATTCCATTCAATTGATTGTTTCACAATGATCCGTAGTGTTGTGATTTGGTCTGTATACAATCGATCCTTACGAAATCCATCCTGTTTGTCTCAAAGTTACGTGTCTATGAAATCCTTCATTCTGTTTAACAACACCCTGTTGAAGACTTTTCCTGGTATTGAGTGAAGAATGATTGCTTTATAGTTCTCACACTCACTTTGTCTAACTGGTTGAAGGAAGAAAGTGTAAAGAAAGTGTTACATTGTTCTGTAAATCCAAAGTAATAATAATTACCTTTCAAAAAAAAATATTTGATGTTTTATTATAAAAACTACTGATTAACCAATCATCATCATCATCATCATCATCATCATCCAAATCATCATCATCATCATCATCATCATCATCATCATCATCATCATCATCATCATCATCATCATCATCATCATCATTATCATTATTGATATCATTCATGTAAAGGATTGTTCTATTGTTTTTACTTCTCAATCTATCATTATCTTTATATGTTCAACTGTCATAAATCATTTAACTCTTTTTTTCTTTTCATGTCAAGAGAAACGAACTTCTACATTCACTAGTAAACATCCTAACAATATATGTCATTTACTAAAACAAAAATAGTGAACAAATGACCCTTTCCATTTAAGATTCACTATTCCTTTATATATTCATTCACATTAACAATCAATAGATTTGTTATTCAGTTGAAATTGTAATATCTCCTACTTATTTTAATGAATTAGTATAGTAAAACAAATAGAATACATACTTACATACCCATTCATATATCCACTTATGTACATGTAATTACATATGAAAGGTTTAATTAGTAAATGTTTGTTATTGTTCTTATGTTCAAATGCATTCATTAGGTTATGAATGATAGTGATTTAGTGGTTAAGCGTTCATGCTCGAAACTGATAGGTCCTGGGTTTGAATCTTGTGAGGTGGGATTGTGGATTGATGTGAACTGGGAAACAAGAAGCCCTGACAAACTACGAAGGCTATTTTTCGGGACGTTATTTCATTTTATTCAAAGCTTGTAAAACACTGACATTTATTTTTGTCCCTAATCTATTCTACAGAACATAAGCTTTCGTTTGATGTATCATTCACTGCCATACCTTTTTCTGTTCCGAAGCTATTGTAATTTAAACATAATATTTTGCACCCTATTTTCTACTCTAATTCCCACCTTTGGACATAATTGTATTTTTCCTAATTATTGTACATTGCGGTCGGGTTATTCACCTATTTATTCGTGTACCTTTTTACACTAATCTGAATTCAGTGAAGTCAGGAATAGATCGAGTAGTGTTCCAGTTGTATTGTCTTCTCTCATTCGTGTGCTTGCCCACCAATCAGGTGACAGAATAGTTTTCTTCTCTCTACCTCATCTCGAACTCACGCGTACTAGTCTCAAGGTTTAGCCGATCAGCCTATCGCATCAAGGTCGAAATCTAGATTAGACAAGTATCCTCAGTACCAAAAGTGGGTAGACAAACCAAGGTCATAATATGGATGAACACCGTTGAGGAGTCCCATAATAGGATGAAACGGAAGTCCAGTGCTTCTATGTTTTCCATGGTGGTTTAACTTCAATGAACTTATGATCTGAACTATTGAAATTACTATAATATCCACAAATACCCCTTCTGATGTTATGAATGATAGGTTGATAAATGGGATATGATATGTAGATCATAATTTAAACAATTGAAATACTGGTGAAAATTTGAGCTACATTTACATATACATGTTAATCTGTTTGCAGGATATTGAAATTGAATATTAACATAGATGATACTGATTGTTATGATTGATATCACGTTGACTTAAGATTTGGTTAAAATCAATCAACCTTCAGAGTAATTCTATGATTTTTCACTGTTTGAACTAAAAACAATGATGAATTTACCTGGTATAGTTTTTACTTGAATCATCCGATTGATGCTTAGGACTTCAATTGATCAGTCTCTTATTGGCATATGTGCATACTGTGTGTATCGCCTCGATATTGCCTTAATTCACAAGCATTATAAACAAAGATGGATTAAGGCATTATCGAGTTAGTTTGCACACGATGCACATATGCAAACAACAGACTGATCAATTACAGTCCTAAATAACAATGGGAAGAAACAAGTGGACAACATGAAGTGAATTGAAAACTTCACTACATCATATAAGCAGGTGGCTATCAGGATTCAGTAGCGTGCGCCCTAGATTCCACTGTTAGCCACTATCTATCTTTCCTTCTAAAACAATGATGATTTAAACTTTAAATTTAATGCTTACATCATTATTAGTAAAGGTTTGAATTGTTACGTTGTTGATAATTCAAAGAGAGTTTTGATTGATCTTTATAAGTCATTGTAATCTTGAATCATGAATCCTCAGTTGAAATCTTCCGAGAAGTTTGAAAGTTCCAACTTACAATGATATTAACAACCTAGTTTAAAAATTTAAAACGATATTCTATTCTTCTACCGATTATATACGTTCGTAGTGCTGATTGACTAGATTTGTAATGACTATCAAATAGAAATTGACTGTATTATGGGGAGGGGGGAAATCCAGAAAACTCCTCGAAAATAAAAAGTAAAGAAAGGATCTGAAAACATTGAGAAGCATCTTATCCAATTAGTGTTCACTAGAAGTTTGGTCAGAAACATCTAGAAAGTGAAAAATTTCTGCATTGAATGATTACTTATATTGCATTCCAGAATTTTTCGGAAACCTAAGACCATCTAAAATGCTATAACAACGAACCTTTGGAATAAACCGTTTTCTTCCATATTTCACTAAGCCTTTTCTCTTATATTCAACTCGTTATGTAGATTTAGTCTATGGGTTACTAGTATAACTTAGGAAACTGAATCTAGCATTCAATTAACAAAACTTATCAAATTGTGTAGCATAAAGATCATGCTCTCAATGCTTGAGTTTTACTCTACCTATAACTTCATGGATGTACATTAACTTATCTGATAGTCTCAGACTAAGACTAAACAACTGTTCAAGTCATTATCTAGTTTCTTCTTCTTCTTCTTCTTCAACAACAACAACAACAACAACAAAAAGAAAACAATCTTTCAACTTGTCCAATTTTTCAATTATCTTCTTGACATAAGAAAACAAATGGTTCAATAAATAAATAAAAAAATAAATAATAAAGTAAAAACTAATGACAAAATATGACCAATCAATAAAAAATAGGTAAACAGTTGAAGTCAATATAAAAAAACAAACAAATAAACAACTATGACTACTTTGTATAAAAATTGAAAAAATAGTGGTTATAATAATCATCAGAGAGGGGTTTTGTGGGTATTATAGTGATTTCAATAGTTGAATTCATGAGTTCATTGAAGTTAGACCACCATGGAAAACCTGGAATTACTGGACAACCGTTTCGTTCTATCATAGAACTCCTCAACAGTGTGTATCTACGATCCCGCTTAGCTAGATTCGAACCCGCGAAAGCGCTTAACTACTAGACTACTGAGACAGTATCCAATAGTGCTAATGTCTAACTTCAACCAATCCAGATAATTGAGCCACTATTCACTAATAATAAACCTAGATCTTGTAAACAAAAACCTATTTTGACATTTGATAAATAAAAATGGAATGAATCGAGTGAAGGAATTTCTTTTCAATTAGTTTCTTACAACATTCATCTCTCGATTCTTACATAATTACTATACTACTGACTACTCATTAAAATATTTTGTTAGTTCCTTCTTCGAACAATTACCTTGATTATTATTAATCGTCTTTCTTCCAATTAGTCAATGTTAGTTTATAATCGATATGTCATTATATAATTATTACGTAACATATCTACTCGATGAGTATTATATCATTATTGTACATTATATATATTAGTGTAGTTCCCGACCGTTGTTGTTATATCCTAGTGAAGATTAAAGTGCGGTCTGTTTGTTTGGTATATAAACCCAGTATGTCTGAAATAAATGATTTGCATAGTGGAGGCTGTTGTTCGCATTCTGAACTCAGCTGGACGGGCTAGACGAGCAACGGACCAATAAGACGCTAGGCTGATCAGACCGGTCGGACGTCATTGTTTTAGTACAGTATAAGAGCGAATAGGTCGTATTTTGATTGGAGAATATATTACTTGATAACTAGCGGGCCATAAAGACACAACAGTTGCTGCTACCTTAACGTGGTGGTCGGGCTTTCCTATCGTGATGAACCTATCGAGTTATACTGGTTGGATCAATCGTTCCTCAAGGTCCTATCATATCAGACAGGTCGGTTAAAGGGCGCTAAGATTAAAAGCAGCAAACCCAAGGTCCGAATGTGAAGTCGTACTGCTGACTGTATATAGGTGTGGCGTCAGTATAACCAGCATAAAAAAGATGCTGCCTTCCCACAAGGAAAGGTAGGGTTAGAAATGTTCGACCCTAAGAATGTACATCTCACATTATCCCACTGATTTCCGTCTCCTGCGATAAGGTTTCAATAATTACAGAGCCGACACAAAAATTACTCACAAAAAGGTCGTATGTGACCAACCTCAAGTAGTTGTCCCTTGGATACTGTGGTCACGCTCTCGGATCACTAAAACCACCTCTAACCCAATTTCCCTTTCAAGTACCTCCAGAAAAACCCTTCCACGGTGTGGTCAACCGAGAAGTGATAACTGCTCTCATACTTATAACAGCATTCAAGATATTAGTGTAGAGCTATGATGAAAAAGCTAACTGAAAAGAAATTTCTTCTTGCGATACGTTCCTTCTTTAAATAAGTATCGGACATTGTCAGAACAGGACGAAACTCATGTCCTGGATTCCACAGTTATCCACTATCCATATTTGCTTATAAAGCTCGTGATCTAAAGCAATATCGAGGCAGTCCATACACGATGTACATATGCCAATAAGAGATTGAACAATTACAGTCCTAAATAACAACGAGAATATACACGGAAACAGTACCAAGTGAATTTAACACTTTATCCCATTGTACAATCAGATGGCTATCAGGACTCAATAGCTAAATGGATAACATGATGCATGTTTGAAACGAACAATACTGGATTCGTGTCCCAGAGTGAACATCAACTCTGAGATGTAGATACATTCAGCTGACGAGTTTTAAAAAAAAAAAAAAAAGCAGGATGAAACTCACATCCTGGATTCCACTACTAGTAATTTATACACATGTAATGAATCTGTCTGAGAATAATAAATCTTATTTAATTTATCAGAGCTATCTTCCTTAGAACTTATAAATGATAATTATAAATGACTATAATAAACCTGTAATTTTGACAAATTTGTTTTTAAATTATTAAATTGTCATTTTGTTTTTGACAGGAAGTAATTAAATTGAAAAAAACTGGTCGTATGTTCTAGGTTGTAATATATATATATATGTTTTACTGTTCTATAGTCTGATTGAATTTGATTGGTTTGTTGAAATCTGATGTTGATAGAATGATGAACTATAATTAAGAGCGAGGTCGTGGATGTACACTGTTGAGGAGTCCCATAATAGGATGAAATAGCCGTTCAGTGCTTTCAAGTTTTCCATGATGGTCTAGCTTCAATTGACTCATGATCATAATCATTAAAATTACTATGATATCCACAAAACAAATCTGATATAATTTAGTGTTAGAATGGGAATTTGTGACAGTTAATTTCATGAATTGATGTAAGCTAGATTATCATTAAAAACCTGAAAGAATTGGATGAATGTTTTGAACTTATATGCGACTCCTCACCAATGTGGTATCCACGATCCCACATCAAAGGGATTCTAACTCATGTTCCTTGGTCTCGCATATGAACGCTTAACCTCTAGATCATAAAACCGACATACAATAATAATAATGTCTAACTTCAATTGATTTATGATCTATTGTACAAACTTTCATCCATTGTCTGAGGTGGATACCTGTCTCCACCTGACACGAATTGAGTTCCACTGGTTATGGATTCTCACTAGAACTCCAAGAAATCCATCTCTAAGCTAGTCATCAGTGAGCACATGATAATTATTATCAGAATGGGAACTTGTAGAGAGTGAAGTATTATAACGATTGAATTCATGATTCTAGAGATCAAACATTCGCGTGTGAGACTGAAGATTCTAGGTTAGAGTCTTTTTGGTGTGAAATCATGGATGCTCGTCGCTGACGAGTTTCATCCTAGATTGAAACAACCGTTCAGTGCTTCCAGATTTTCCTCGGTAATCTAGCTTAAATTGACTCATGAATTCAACTATTAAAATTACTACAATCTCCACAACTCGACACGTCTATAAACTTATGATAGTTAATTATCGTAATCGATGACGTAGAAAAGGTAATGTAACGTATAGTTTGTTAGTCGAATTAAGTAATGATGACCACAGTGATATTATTTAATTCGAGTAGCAAACAGTAAAATCTGGTTTCCTCTTGGAAGTTTGTCACAGAGAAATTTTTGGACTAAAGAGCAACCTTTGAGAAAAATGCATGTTTTAAACGCACTCAAAACCAGTTTATGTAGAATTGAATACAACAAAACAGTGAGAAGCCATGACCAGTGGAGTCCAACCTTGTTAGGGGTGAGGCAGTTACCCACTGATGACAAAGGAAGATGGTCGCGCAACATCGTGGATTGGTTGAACTTAAACATTAACACCGATGTATGCCAGCTCAATGGTCTAGTTGTTAGGCGTTCCCGCGAGACCGCAGGTCCTGTGTACGATTCCTGGGTTCTGCAGCGTGTACACACGATGCCGAGAACTCTCTTATCAGGATGAAACAATTGTTTAGTGCTCCCAGGTTTTCGATGATGTTCTAACATTGATCAGAACATGATCTCAACAAAAACTCAAAAATCTCCCAAGCTCTATACTGAGAATATAAATAAACAACTGTAGAAGTTTAAAACTATAGAACATAACATTTTTCTTAATCTTCTCGAAGTTATCTAAAAATGATATGATCGAATGTACTAACAGATTTTCTTCTCCTTCCATCAATGCCTTATCACCTTACTAACGACAATTGATCTTCGAATGAAATGAATTCCTATTCAATAATAATAAAACTATCTATACAATAACTTTAAATAAACTAAAACTGTAGAGTATGCTACTTATGTTGACATAAGTAGTAAATAATACCAATCAGAAGTGGAATGCCTGGTAGCAGAAGGATTATAAGATCGAATCGAAAAGAACAAAAGTCAATCAATCAGTCAGCAATAACGTAGAACTTCTTACGTGCGTACATCTTAATGGGAACAGATAATAATTCTTATGGTAACGGAGGTACGATGAAGTTTGAGACAATTGATGAAGAATTTGCAAATAAAATACTGAACGTATGGGTTTTTTTTTATCCTATCAAAGAACTGCAATTTTGTATTAAAATGGATTGGTTATCCCTACGTATGTTCATTTTCACTACAAAATCATCAAAGAAAAATGTTTGAATAAAGTACTTTGATTAGTGCAACAATCAAATAAACTATCCAATAGGATTATTCAAACTATGTATCAGCACAAATCAAAGTATGAATAAGGGAAATTGTGTATCTCAACACCCTCTTCTGGTGAAAATTACGATTATGGAGCTCTATGTAATTTCCCCTACATAATAAAAGTAAGATAGGCTCTAATAGTTCCTTAAATACTACACAAAAAAATGTCTGATAGTAAAAAGAATGATTGGTAAATCGAGATATTTTACTGAAATATCCATGTAAATCAATAATAGTGCTCATAAATAAATAGATAATGTGATGGTGTTTGAAGTGAAAGGTATGAGGTTCGAGTACCGGAGTGAACATCAACTCCAAGATGCACGTGCATTCGGCTGACGAGTCCCAAAATAGAATGAAACACGCGTCCTGGATTCTATTGTTAATCACTATCCATCTTTGTATATAAGCCTTGTGAATTAAAGCTATATCGAGGCAATACGCACAGTATGTATATATACCAATAAGAGATTGATTAATTACAGTCCTAAACATCAATCGGAAGATTCAAACAAATAATACAGAATGAATTAAAATTATTCTATAGTTCATAATTTGAATTCATTTGAGTTGGCCAACCATTGATAATCGAGAAACAATACATATATCTTTGATTGTTATGTACGACTCCCTGTTAGTTCACGTATTCAACTTGGAAATGGATCGAACTCAGTATTTCCAAGTTTTACTGAGTTTTTTCTGAGTTTCACATCTTGATCTTTAATTTATTCACGATAGTGGAAGAATATCGTATAATGTAATCGGTGACACATGTCTTAACCACCAATATGTTTAAACTCTACTGATCACAGCTTCTCACATTAGACCTTTTAGAATCAGTTTATTAGTTAGTCACTAGTATTAGAGATTGTTTAATTCTTAGTTCGTATCTACAGATCGACGACCAATGAAGTATTGTTGATTATTAAATTGATTATTCAGGAGGGGTTTTGTGGAGATTTTAGAAATTTCACTACTTGAAATTATGAGTCAATTAAAGCTAGACCACCATGGAAAACCTGGAAGCATTGGACGGCTGTTTCTTCCTATTATGGGACTCCTCAGCAGTGTGCATCTACGATCCCATCTCGCGAGTGAGTGCTTAACCATTAGACCACTGAGCCGGCATCCAACCCTGTTAACGTCTAACTGTTAGGTCCCAATAAGCATAATGAATCCATTTGTGGACCAATACTATACGTATATTTTTATCGAATAATTGTTAAATAACTAAACTATTCATATTCATATTCCTCTTATTATAAGCTTTATTTTGACTTATGAACTATTATTATACGTTTTCCCATTCTTCAATTATGCCCTGTCAATTAGTCACTTCCTCCCACATTCACAGCCACATTTAGCTAGATCTTGTTCAAATGTTGTTTTCTATTTTATGGTACGTTGTGGTCTGTCTAATTGGTGTATAAACCCCGTATGTTTAAAATAAATGATTCATATCCCGGAATGGTGTTCTGAACTTAACCTGCTGGGCTAGGCGGAAAGCAGGACCAGTCAGGAATCTAGACTGCTCATACGGGTTTACGTGTCATTGATCCAATCGATACGTCACTGCTCTCTGATTGACGGTATCATTACGTTATACATTAACAGGACGCACATCCCATCCCCGTCGCCAAATTTGCTAGGTTTGAAGCAGTTACGAGTTCACTTAGACTGCGAACGGTAAAAGGACTCGGTGACCAAAGACCAATAAGCTAGCTATTCGATGCGTCCTAGCCCCACTAACTAGAGGAAGAAGTCTAAGCTTGGAATGGGGAAGTATATTCCGCAAACAGCCAGAAACGAGCGATAACAACAAACACAAATGAAAACGTATATATACAGCACAAAACCATACTTGGGGAGAGTTACCAAATAACATACTAAAAGGCACAATCGAACAATAGCATTTAAGATTCTCCCAAGTGGGAAATACAACATGAAGGTAAAAAGAGCGACTTTAGGGCTCAAATTTTCTAAATAAAGTTACAAAATTACGCCCTTTTTCGAATGAGTTCTGGGGATCTAACGTCTCCAACACTAACTTCAACCAAACCACGAAATTGCACCACCGTACATCATTGTCTTCAGTGAGCTGATATTTCACAACAGACTGGGTTGAACTTCACTGGTAACGGCTCCGCGCGCGAAGCTGATAGGTTTTGAATTCGAATCTCGTGGGGGGCAGAATCATGGATGCACATGTCTGAAGAATCCCATACTAGGACAAAAACAATTGTCTAGTGTTTCCAGATTTTTTTTCTTCATGGTGGTCTAACTTAAATTGATTCATGAATTCAACTATACAAATTAGTACAAACTCCATAATACCCCTGTGTGATAAATAATTTCATTTTAAATAATTCTACAATGTTAATTGTTATTAATGTTCACGTTATTAATGTCAATTTAATCTCTTTAAATTGTTCTGTTTGTGTGCGTATGTGTATGTGTATGTGTATATGGGTGTTCAAGGGAATGAATAAGTCATGTTTACACATCCCTCTAATGTATATAAGTGTATGGATGAATCTGTATGTATACATATATATGTATATATGTGTACTAAAGTGTACATGTGTTGTGTACATCACAATTTATACAGTATTATAACTAATTTAATAAAGTTGTACACTTCATTTAAACATACAATTTTTTCATGTTTATATCTACATTGTAAAATTATCATTATACCATAGGTTGATAGTTTAAATAATCCATGAAGATATAGACAAATATACAAATAGTTTTAGTAAAAACTTATTTCACAAACACTTACCATTAAATCTTTGTTCATTAGGTTTCTTTAAAAGCATAAAATCATCATCATCATCATCATCATTACCAACAGTATTGTGTTGCATAAATCATGATATTATCGACTATATCAACTCTATACCCAACCCCTCTTTCACCTTACCTTCATATATATAATCAACCCATTTCAATGTATATGTATCTAAAGCATTAATACATGTTTATTCAATGTTTCTATTTAAGAAATAATAATAATCATTTTTAAATCTTTTATTTTTTTCAACTTATACCCTGTAAAAAGAAAAAGAAGTATTGCATATTTCATGTATACACATGTTAGATATTATCTTGAATGTAATTTATCATTACTAACTGATATTAGCTATTAATAAAATCATGGATGAATGCGAAATCATTCGAAAATGATAATAATCATCATCATCATCATCATCAGTGTTGTTGTTCTTCTCCTGCTCCTCCCCCCTCCTCCTTCCCCTCCTCTTTCCCCTCCTCCTTCCCCTCCTCCTCCTTCCTCTTCTTCTTCGCCTTATTATTATTACCAACTTAAGTTGTCACCTATTAACGACATTTAACCATAAAACTGTGAGCTTATGTTTAATCAATCATTTGGTATTTCTTTATTATGAAAAAACAGGATTATCGGAGTGTAATAAAAGAATTCTTGAATATATATATATATATATATATATATATATATATATATATATATATAACGATCCTTTTGCTTAAACTTATCAACCCAACACTTAGGATAATGGTAACCTTCATAACTCGCCTCATTTTTTTTGTAAAAAACAAAGCACATAGATTGCAAAAATATACAGTTTTTTTTTGGTAAATGAGAAGAATAGTGATATTGTTTTAATGAATATATATGATTTTAATAATTGAATTTATGAGTCAATTGAAGTTAGACCATCATAGAAAACATGGAAGCACTGAATTGCCGTCTCATACTAGTATGTGACTCCTCAGAAGTGAGCATCCACGATCCAACCTCGTGAGATTCCAACCCACAATCTATCAGTCTCACGCACCAACGCTTAACCAATAGATCACTGAGCCGGCTGACATCTAACCATGTTAATGTCTAACTTCAACTAATCCACGAAATTCAGTGACATACTCACCATTTTCTTCAGTAAATTACTATCTTACAACAGACCCGGTTGAACTCCACTGGTCACTACTTCTCACTAGAACTCCAGGATATACCTCTTGAACCCAGTCACAAGTGAGCATATGTTGATTATTATCAGAAGAGTTTTTGTGGATATTATAGTAATTTCAATAGATGAGAATTTGGATGCTCACTTCGTGCGTGACCGATAGGCCCCGGGTTCAAGTCTCACAAGGTGGGATCGTGGATGTGCACTGTTGAGGAGTCCCATAATAGGAAGAAATGACCATCCAGTGTTTTCCGGTTTTCTATGTTAGTCTAGCTTTAATTAACTCATAATTTCAACTATTAAAATTACTATAATATCTACAAAAAACACCTTCTGAAACTATTCAATCCTTTGTAGTTTTCATTAGTTCTCTAACCAGATATAATCTGTGATGAAATAAAAAATCCCAATTCAACCATCTGTACAATAACATAAACTAATTCTTTAATAAATAAACATTAAAAGTACATATGCTAAAATTTCAGATGATATATTGTATCCAAGTTTCATATTTTCACTTATTCACCCTGTCTTAACAACTATCTAACTGAAATACAACAAAGTCACCACCACACCCCCACCCCCACCCCCACCCCCATCACACCCCACCCCACCTCCACCCCGTTTGAAAATAGGATTATGGTGGGATTTTTTTTAAAAAAAAAGAAAAATAAAAACCCACTATAAATAAACACATTCATGTAGATATATATACGTAACATTATATAATTCATTACAACTTTGCTTTATTTATTTTAAAATGAATTCTGTTTGGCCTATTAATCATTATAAGCAAGACATGAAAAAGAAAAATGACTGTATAATTTACATTTTGATAAACATTTTAATCCTTCATGAGGGGGGTAATTAGGCATAAGTAAACATTTAATGCCTTACAAGGCTATGTTATACCACAACAACAACAAAAAAAACACATAAATATCTGTGTAATGTGAGTCATACTACTACTACTATTTTGGTGTTGTTGTTGTTGTTGTTGTTCAAATATAATCTTTGTTGAAATTAGTTTTGTCATCAAAACGAATTAAACATCTATTACACAAACTAATGACTATTTGGATTCAGTAGGTAAGTAGATAATGTGATACTGTATAGAAGTGAACGATACTGAATTCAATTTCCAAAGTGAACATCAACTCTGAGATGCAGATACGTATTCCAAAAAAAAAATAGGATGAAACGAGCGTCTTGGATTTTACTGTTAGAGACACTATTGATTTTTACAATTGATTGATCACTGGATGGTGATGAATGTTATATGTGTCAAGTCCTTATTATTTATTTATTCATTTTAATGCATAGATATTGGTACAAGAGGGCATCAAATACATATGCACCACACAAATCTAATTTGATTTGTGTGAGGGCTGTCATACTGACCGGGTGCCCAAACCGAAGCAGGTGGTTTTCTTAGGGGGCCACACCCCGAGCCTTCGACCTAAAGTTCTGGTCCACAAGGAAGTCGAGCATCGTAAGGAGATGCAGTCCTATGGTAGCCAGTGATCAACGATTGGCTCATACGCCATTTGTTCCTTCAGGATACTGGAGCCCATGTGCACCATTGGTTTGAGATCCGGTTAAAGCGCCGGGTATTCGCTTTTCGTTCTCTCATTTTCATAAACAACACCCCCGCCACAAGAATGCAATGAGTAGGACTTCCCTGGCAGATGCTATATACACGTGGCCATGTGAAAGCATTTCGAGAAGGGGAGCGGAATCTCCCCACTCTCGGTCGTACCAGGGCATCGAATGCTATCGACCAAGTTGCAATGTGGTCACCAATCTAGGTGACTTGACATTGCGTGCACTATGTTGAGATAAGATGATGGTTGGAGGTAGTCCACAAAAAACCCTGGATCTAGGTTTCATACTACTTGACATTTGTCAGCAAGATGTACCTGTAATCTTGAGGGAACTGATTCTCCCTGACGGATTCCATCCCATGTCACCCAGCTTCTCAGTCAGAGACGTTACCACTGAGCTATGCAGACCACGACTGACCTCCTGTAAGACTGAGATGTATTCACAATTGATTGGTCAATGTCATGTGTATCAGGTGGCATGGAATCGAATCAGTCAAGGAGAATCAGTTCCCTCATGATTACACGTACAACTTGCTAATAAGTGCCAAATAGCACGAAACCAAAGCCTAGAGTTTCTTGTGGACTACCTCCAACCATCATCTTACTACCCATCTTTGCTTAATAATAACATTCATTATTTTAAAAAAAATATATAGGGCTTAATTTTCACACATTTTAAATGTGGTTGTATATTTCAACAACAACAACAACAACAACAGCAGCAGCAACAACGACGACGACAACGATAAATTGTTGTTTATTTTAAATAAATAAATGTATGTATGAATCATAAATGTTTCAATAAGGGTGATTATACCAAGCGTAAAACTGGATTTGTTACATCAGTTGTTTATTACTATTCGAGTTTACATTATCCTCCTACATGGTATTATTCAGATATCTGTCTCTATTCAAATTATAGAGTAAACAATATAGTTTGTGATGGATAGACACAATGATATAGAAAGTGACAACGTGTATATGTGCGCACATACACTTCTCTCTCTCTCTATGTGTGTGTGTGTTTGTAAACGGAATTGTCGGTATTATTCATGCTACGTGAGTAAGAGCGTGTTTTTGTTTTATAGGAAGGTTGTTTTCTACAGGATGGGGTTACCGATGTGGGATTAAAACTGGTATTAGGTCTAGAAGAGACCTACAAGTAGAGTTACATGAGTAAGAGAGTGAAAATGAATTGAAAATTTAGTTTTTTTTTCCATATGAAAACTGTTACAGATCATGTATATATGCATGTATGGCATGTAGGTATAAGTAAAACTGACAAGTAATGTAAACACAATTAATCTATGTAGACTTTCTATTGAATATTTATGATAATCAAAATGTAACGTTTATTTGTCTGTCGTCGTTGTTGTTGTTGTTGTCGTCGTCGTTATTTCAAATACTCACGCCATCATGAATAGATTTGTAGAAATAATTTGATAAACAGTGTGTAACAAAATAATGAAATATTGTTTGACAAGCCCCAGAGTGAACATCAAATCTGAGATGCAGGTACATTCGGCTGACAAGTCCCAAAATAGAACGAAACACACGTCCTGGATTCTACTGTTAATCACTATCCATCTTTGTATATAAGCCTTGTGAATTAAAGCTATATCGAGGCAATACGCACAGTATGTATATATACCAATAAGAGATTGATTAATTACAGTCCTAAACATCAATCGGAAGATTCAAACAAATAATACCAAATGAATTTAAGTTTCAATCTATTGCACAAGCAAGTGGCTATCAGGACTCAGTAGCTAAGTGGATAACGTGATGGCGTTCGAAGCGAACGGTACTGAGTTCGAGAACCATAGTGAACATCAACTCTGAGATGCAGGTACATCCAGCTGACGACTCCCGAATAGGACGAAACGCGATTTCTGGATTCCACAGCTAGACACTACCCATCTTTGCATATATTGTTTGACAAGTTGAATACTCACTAGGATCACTTTCTGTAGGTGTATACAGACGATAGCAGACAAATGATAAACTTATTTTAACTTAAGCTTTACTCTAGTTAGTATGTTTGATCACGGTATATCTGCATAGTTTACGAAACTGGTTATCCTTTCGGAAATTGGAATTAATATCGTCTAACTGCTATAGTTAGGAACAGTACTATTGAGTTGCTTTAATCTTTGACTGAGTTAATTAAAGATTAAGTAGTGAGACTATAATTTATGAATGACCTTCGAGCGACGTTAGACTGATATTCAGAGTGTCCACTTAATAACCAGGATCAAATGAGGGTTAGAAACCTGTTGAGGAATTAGAATTATGATTTACAGTTGATGATTG